CGACGTTGATTTACCGCTTATTTGCGCTTATCTTACATACTGGTGGCCACTGGGACCGGACAGCACTAGCAAATCTCCGTAAGCAGCTTTGCTTGCTATTTTCCATTAGGCCTAAGTGACGTAAATTTTAGATGAACAATTTTGCTTCATGGAAAGGATTGAATTTATCATTTAATTTCTTTTATGGTGACATGAATATCCAAGAGAGCACGTCGCTCCTCTAAAAGGTTTGCGATGAAGACATGGCTTTAATATAAACCAGTTACTACAACTTAATACTGATGATTCCCACTCCTACCCGCACGTTGTGTTTGGTCTGTACTTTACAGCTAAGGTCTGTACTTTACAGCTAAGGGGTGAAACACAAGCTACATCTAAACATGTCTTCTTGCGTATGATATTTGGACAGGTCACTTATTTCCTACTCTATGTCATATAAATAAGGAGGAGTTTGTACTACAACTTATGAAGTTGATACGTTCCACAGCTGCTTCTGATAGCTTCCAGAGCAGTCAGAACGGGCTGGCAATGTACTTTTATTTACCCAAATCGCATGCTAAAAAGCATTCAGTTCAACAGCAATTCGTGGTTTAGTTTTTGAATTGCGCAGCTTACAACTTGTCCAGTTCTTTAATCCATGTTGCATCATCTAATGGTTATGAAGTAGGAGATAAGGGATCTGCAACGATTTTGGCATTTGTTCCATCTTCTGAGGGGATTAATTCAGCTCAACGGTTTTATCAACCAAAGTATTTGACAAAGCTTTGCCCGTTTTAAATGTCCTTGATGTGTCCTGAACGTTACGATCTCATCCAGAGCGTCGTTGCTTCTAACTACGATGAATTATTTTACTGACTAAGTGCCTCATCTTGAAAATGATAAGTCGCAAAAAACTTGTTTCAGTTTGGATAAAACTGATTACAGGCGGATTCATGGGGTGGGTGCGACGGGTCTTTCGGCACAGATACCAGTGCTACAGAAGCCCGGTTTAAAACTAAAACTGTAGAAAACTCTCTTTCGCACCCCCGAAAGCTGCCGTGGATCAATCTATGAAATTAATTACTATGTCCACAAGCAGCTTATTCATTTCAGTGTACCAGTGACTGACGTGGACAGCGAGCACATCAATCGTACGTTCAAAGCACTGCTCCAGATGGTACGCAACCATATTGGTGTTGAGAATGCTTCCTGGCTGTGTCGAATCAATTTCTTCTCCGTTCAAATTATTCCCTATGTGAGCTGTGATCCTGTCAAAGACTACATGCTTCCGGTAGCCGAACGGCTCCGTCGATTGGCCGAAAAAGCATACAAGGATGAGGAACACATGCGCACGCATCCGGATGATGCAGATGAAGGCACCGTTGCTGAGGTTCGCATTTCCACAGATTTTTTTCAAGTTCTTTTTTCAGCGAGAAACATCATGAAAAGATTTATGTCTGTGTAGTAATTTTGCTCTCTTTTTGAAAGAATTATCAAAAATGATTTTTATTTCTGTTTTTAATTTGATTTTCTTATTGAAATAGAATTCCGAGCCAAAGTGCTACATATTGCTGATTCTTCATGAATTAAACAAAAATGACTTTCTAAATTTCAGGATAATGCGCGGCTTGTTCGCGACGTCTACGCATATTTCCCAATTTTGATGAAATATACAGATCTGCATCGTGCGCAGTGGCTAAAAACCCCGTCCTGGGAAACGGATGGTGTCTACGAAAATGTTGCTGTTATTTTCAAGGTAATTTTTCTCGGCAAAAGTTTAAAAAATGCGGGACAGGCACGCATCCAAGGATGTGTCCAGAATAATTTTCTTACAGGATTTTTATTGTGATAGTATAATCAGCTGTCACTTCATCGTATCACATTTTTAAGCCACCCGCTCAGCTGCTAAAATTTACGTGGCTGCTATGATTGAAAAAAGCATCTTCTTTTAATCAGCTCCTAGTATTTTAATTTTTGTTTCTCTGTTTGTTTTTCTTTGGTTTTCCCAAAAAAGACGTTGGAAACGTGTTACTACACGTTTTCTCAAACCACCCGATGGCAGCCTTCCTGTGTTACGCAGGTAGATGTTCCAGGAACAATGGCACTGGAATTTCCATTAGTACAGAATCCAAGAACAAAATAAGACAGGGTCGTGATGAATGGTGTCTAAGTAGTCAATGCTCAAAAGTCGAAAAGAGGGGCGCAAAAATTTGAGTTGCATGGAGCATTATTAAGCTTCGATATGCAGCCCTTTTGACGTAGCGCACTATTTTGTTGCAGATCTGGTCGCTCTCACAGCATTTCAAACGTGAAGAGTTAAATTTCACAGCGCAGTATGAAGACGAATCGGTCGCCGTTGGTACTGGTGAAATGAAAACTGGCAAAGCTGCAATCGCTGAGCGAAAGAAGAAACGACGTGAGGGACAGGTAATTGGTCTTAAACAATTTCGTTTTTGTTTGCTGAGATAAGCTTTTAAAACACACACACACACACACACACACTCCATACGTACAAGCACGGCCTGTCAAAAATATGCTTTTTTACAAGCTGCGTCAATTACAGGCAGTAAATGGGTAATTTGTTTCAGATTCGCAAAGATAAACACGCCAGCTCAATTGTGATTGCTTGTCTGAAACGATTGCTCCCAGTTGGCTTGAACGTATTTGGTGGCCGTGAGCTCGATATTGTTCAACATTCAAAGGAAAAATTCTTGGGCAAAGAAAACGAAGATAAAATACGTGAATTTGTCCGCTCACTACTTGACATCCCGGCTAAGGTTTGTCATTAGTTTTTACTTCAGCTGCTTCAGTTCCATTGAGAAATGCTCGATGTATAATATTCTTTCTAATTGTTACTGTAGTTCTTCAATTTGTCACGGACTTAGCAATCTAGCTATGTCCGGTAAAGTGATCCTCTGACAAAAGCAAGCTAGCTGCAGAAGCCTCCGTTAGAAGCAA